TCACCCGTGCGTTGCACGGGATGAAAAAGATATTTTACTTTATTTGATAGTAATATATTTTTTTCCAAGCACGGGTTAAACAGTTATGTTACATGATTTGATAGTAATTTAATTATTTTAGTACGGAGTAAATGAATGTATAATATTTTCCTTTCGATTTGAATTAAAAATATCTCAATTTCATTTTAGACAAAATTAGGGATGTCAAAAAAACCCGACCCGCAGTGACCCGCCATGGCCCGAGACATTTGGGGCGGGTCCGGCCCGGCCCGTCTTCCAAATGGGGCGGTTCCACCCCGCCCCGCCTATACAATGGGGCGGGTCCGGGTATTAGTATTGACCCGTGCCGCCCCGCCCCGCCCTGACCCGACCCACTCAATACATAAGCATACATACTTTTTCTTAAATTATACTACAAATATACTTCAACATACATATGTGTGTATACAGTAAATCATAAATTATTTGATTTTATAATATATTAATACATATATTAGAATGAGATGAACGGCAGATTATCAATGTCTTCTTTATATATAGCGTTTTAATACATATGTTCAGTTATTAGTATAATTAAATAGATTAACTATTCAAGTCTGAGTAATTTTTCCTTAATTTTTGAAATTTTTAGGGTATCATGAATTTGATTTAATATATTTATTTTTAATTATTATTTAGAGATAAACTTTATGTACATTCAATTGGTAACAACTTCCCATAAATAAAAATACATACTAGCTAATTAGGTTACAACGGGGCGGGTCATGGGTCAACAAGTTTGGACCCGTGCAGGTCACGGGGCGGGGCGGACCCGCCCTGCCAAGTCACGGGGCGGGTCTGGGTCTTGCAGTACCCGCCCCGCCCCGACCCATTGCCATGCCTAGACAAAATGTAATATTATAAATTGGTAAACACCTCAAGTCGCGTCACTATAATCATTTTTAATTGAACTAAGTTTTTTTTTTGGTCTGAACTAGTATATTCTAGTCTAGTAGATGTCTGGTTGTGTGTGATTTACACCTGTTGAAATCTGGTCTCGGACTGAAATAAGTCCAGGTAAAAACATTCTAAAAGTTGAGTGCAATTACACAAGCAAGATGATTGATCTACATTTCTCATAAGCATCACAAGCGCACTCACTTTTAGTTTGAGCTCATGGCTAGGGACACGGGAACATTTGTTTGATTCCATTAAGAAATTTTGGAGAGTGGATTTGTTGCAACAAACTACTATGTCACATAATGATGCTGAATTGAAGTTCAAATATGTCTTCATCTTTGATGGTATTTTGCGAGCATGTATTGCTCTTGGCATTAAATAAGACAACAATGTGTAGTATGTCAAGAAATCAAGATATGTAGGCATGGACCGGTCCCGGGCCGGGCTCCAGGCCGGTCCTGGGCGGGCTTTTGGGTTTGGCTTCGGGCCCGAAACCGGCCCGGGTTTCCACCGGGTCCGGGCCGATCCCCGGGCTTCTTCATTTTTTTTTGCTTTTCTAATCAACCCCCGACCCCCCCCTCACCCCCATCCCCCAAACCCCCCAAAACACCCAGCCCAACCTGATTGAAAAACAAAAAAATAGGCCCGAACCGGGCCGGGCCGGTTCCTATTTTGGGTGACCCAAGCCCGACCCGCATAACCCCCGGGCCGGGCCTATCCGGACCGGTCTCTAGCCGGGCCGTCGGGCCGCCTCCAAACAGTGCCGGGCCGGGCCGGGCCACGGGCCGGTCGGCCCGGAACCGGTCCATGACTAAAGATATGTACCAAGGACAATAGATGTAATTGCATGAGATATCCAAGGCATGAGGAATTCTTTAGGAATGTCAATATATGATTCTCCATCCTTATTGTCACGTAGAGCCCCGTCCTCTATCTTTAAAATTCAGTCAATGAATTTTTGTATGTATGCAGAATTAAGATCGTTCGATCCACTTCCCACTCTCATGCTCTTCTTTAACCTCAGTACCTTGCGAAACGTTCAAATGAAGGATGCATCTAAAGTCGAGTGCACACTATGTTGCATGCTTCCCTTAAGAATTATTGGTAAATTTTGTTTAAAGTCTCCACCGAAGAGTTTAGTGTTTAAACATAGTGTTTTACTATAAACATATTAAGAGTGTAATTGAATTGTAATAGGTCTCTATTTTCCCTTAACATTATCTATAAAATCTATAAAATAGGGTAGTGTAAATAAGTGGAAAAGAACTCCTTAGGGACCTTTAGTGGTGGACCCGGTTCGGGCCGCCCGGCCCGTTACTGTGCGGGCCCGGAACCGGCCCGGTTCTCGGGTCCGGGTCCGGTTCGGGCACCGAACCGGTGGGGGTGGCGGGTCCGGGCTCGGGTGTAGTTTTTGGCGGCCCGGCCGGGTCGGGCCCGAGCCTAACGGTCCATTTTTTTAATTTTTTTTTCCTTTTAAATTAAAAAAGCCTTTTGACCACTTGACCCACTTCCCAAACGGCTATATAGCCGTTGGGTGGGTACTAGGGGGGTCCGGGGTCTTTGGGGGGGGGGGGGGTTAAAAAAAACTATAAATACTCCTAATTTTAAACATTTTTTCACACCTCTTCTCCAACTCTACATAAATCATACTCTCTACTCATCTCCATATTCATCTTCTCAAATTCTCTTATTCTCCATTATATTTTATTTTACTATTTAATACTTATACAATTATTATATCTACTTATATAATAATTATCTACTTATAAATACATATACTATATTACTTATATTTCTATATCTACTTAATCTCTACTTATATCTCTTAATACATACATACATACTACATCTACTTAATATATACTTTATAAATTGAAGTATTAAATATACTTTATAAACTATTACTATATACTTAATACATAATAATATCTACTTCTCTACTTATATTTCATATATACTTATTTTCTTATTCTCCAATCTCCAATTCTCCATTATACTCTAATATTTAATTCTTATACAATTATTATATCCACTTAATAGTTAATACATACATTTCTACATCTACTTAATATATAGTTTATATATTAAAGTATAAAATATAAGTGTATTACTCATCTTATAGTAGTATACTTATATATTATATACTATAAACATTATATTATATATTAGTTACTATAACTAGTATTATACTAGTTAATTAGTTAATTAGTATTCTTGTTACATTTTTCATTATACTAGTTAATTAGTTAATTAGTATTCTTGTTACATTTTTCATTATACTAGTTAATTAGTTCATTAGCATTCTTGTTACATTTTTCATTATACTAGTTAATTAGTTCATTAGCATTCTTGTTACATTTTTCATTATACTAGTTAATTAGTTAATTAGTATTCTTGTTACATTTTTCATTATACTAGTTAATTAGTTCATTAGCATTCTTGTTACATTTGTCATTATACTAGTTAATTAGTTCATTAGCATTCTTGTTACATTTTTCATTATACTAGTTAATTAGTTCATTAGCATTCTTGTTACATTTTTCATTATACTAGTTAATTAGTTAATTAGTATTCTTGTTACATTTTTCATTATACTAGTTAATTAGTTCATTAGCATTCTTGTTACATTTTTCATTATACTAGTTAATTAGTTCATTAGCATTCCTGTTACATTTTTCATTATACTAGTTAATTAGTTCATTAGCATTCTTGTTACATTTTTCATTATACTAGTTAATTAGTTAATTAGTATTCTTGTTACATTTTTCATTATACTAGTTAATTAGTTCATTAGCATTCTTGTTACATTTTTCATTATACTAGTTAATTAGTTCATTAGTATTCTTTTTACATTTTTCATTAAACTAGTTAATTAGTTCATTAGCATTTTTGTTACAATTTTCTAGGCCTGGGATCGGTTCGGTTCCTCTTAAAAATCGGAAGAACCGTTAAGAAAATTAGAATTTATGATATCGGTTCGGTTCCAATAAAAAAAATCTAGAACCGTTATGGAACCGAACCAATTGTTAACGGTTCGGTTCTTATCATTTATCGGTTCTTAAAAAAACTATAAAGTATAAACTCCCGATTTTCGGGAGAAAAAAATTGAAATACACCACAAACTGTAATCAACCAAACTGTAATCTCAATTTAAATAACGATCAAATTTAAACTAAAAAATCCAGAACTTTAAGAAGTCAGGATTGATTCACACATAAACTGATAAAAGTTCAATTTCTCAAAAAGCACAAAACTAAAGCTAAGAAAATACAATAAGTTCAATCCATGATTGCAAATTTAACAATTTGTAATTATAATCTCCAATCCTGATCCTTGGTCTTGGCAGTAGGGCTGCGTATCTCCAAGGCAAGAACAAGTATCAACTTCAATTACTTTAAACTTGAAACCTGAAAAAATTATATTAAATTCAGAATGTAAACTTACATTATATACTCCGTATATAGATCTATATATTCAGAAGTTACTCTTTCAACCCCTTTAAGGGTTACCTTTGATTTGCACTCATATTAAGGAGATCGGATTGTTGCAATTGAGATCATATTTTCACTATTGCTGAGAAACCCCCAGTTATAAATATACTATGTACAACTCAACAGTCAACAAATTCAACATGCATGAATAATTATTCTGAGTCAAATCAGATTGGGTTAATTTTCAGACGTTTTTAGTTTCTTTATGGCATTGAGGTTATCTATTTTCGAAACTAATCACAGTCAAACCAGATTGTTATTTTTAACCAATGGATTAAAAATGATAACACCTACCATAGGAGGATAGCCTTCAAGGTTCACATGTTCAAATGATTGGCAGATCTTCAAGACAAAAACCTCAAAACTAGAAAGCAAACATATCCACCAAAATGTCCAGTCAATTCTTCCTTCATACCTTATGTTTATCTTTGGTTTCCCTTTCTTCTTGTTCAAACTCTGCATTACATTTAGGTTTTGAATAAGATATGTAATAAATTATTATGAAAGCTAGATGAAAATGAGATATAAGTAAATTGATGAATAAAGTAAACTGTGAAAATCGTGAAATACCTTTTTCAGTGTTTTCTAACCACTCCATTTCCTCAGGGCTAGGAGCATACCCAAGATTAGTAATTGAGTCAGACTTCAACCAATTTTGTAGACAAATGAGTGCCTCAACAGATCTTGGAGTTAGAGAACTCCTGTGAGGATCAATGACTCTCTTTCCCGTGCTAAAACTAGATTCAGATGCTACAATACTAACTTGAATTGCTAGAGTATCCTTAGCCATTGCTTGCATGTTAGGGTACTTTGGCCCATTTAGCCTCCACCATGTCAAAATATCAAAATCATCGGTATGTTTTTCTATGGGATCTAAAAGGTACCTGTCAACCTCATGAGCAACTACAATTGAGCTCCCTTCCTCAAGATCCTTTTCCCAATCCTCATACATCATTGCCCTTTTCCCAGACAATTTTCTATTCCTGCAAAATGAACAAAAAGTTATAACAGATTCTCTAAAATGGGCAGATTTCAGCTAATAAGGAAGTCAAAGTGATGATGGTCTATTGTTACTGATTATTATGTAATAAAGGAAAAAAACTCTGAACGAATTCAATTCAATTTTATAACAAAATGGGTAGAATTTAGGTAACTTATAAAAAATTGCCAATATAAATGTATAAAGTTTAGATATATGGTACCTATTGACGCCAGCATTGCTTCCAACTTCTTTTGCAGCTTTTGTTGCACTGGAACACTGATTAGCTATTGGAAAAGAGGAAATATTAACTTAATAAAAATAATATGGACTTTAAAGCCAATAAACTATTAATATACACTGATACCTGATTCTGAAGCATAAGTATCAGTAAGTTGCACTATCAAGTCCTTTAACTGGTCACTCTATTTAATTCCTTCACCGCTTCACTAGCTTCATTCAACATCTTTTCAAGAATTCTGCTGAAGTATTTGAGCTTGAATCTAGGGTCTAAAACCAAAGGAACAAGGAAAATTTGGTTCATATCATCTATGGTATCAAAATACTTCCTATATTTGGCTTGCATCTCAACTGACATGTCAAATAATATTTTCTGTGCACCCTCTAGTAATTCTGCTGAATCATTTGAGCACATATCCTCAATCTCAGATCTAATTGTTGCAATCTCAAAGAACGCTTTGTGTGCAGTTGGCTTATTTGTTGCACTAAACACCACAGTAGTATCAAAGAAAACTTTCAAAAGCTTCACAAATTCAGCACAATTATCCCAATCAGTTTCAACAGGAGGACCAACCCTTTTCCTACCCTTCCCTACTGTGAGGCTCAGTTCATCATCTTCATTTTCTTCTTCATCAAAATATCCACTATACTTAGATTCCTCCTCTTCAGCCAACCTATCGAACGCTGCTTTGAGCTCAAGTGCAGTCTCAAGCATAATGTAGGTGGAATTCCACCTTGTCGGCACATCCAGCACACACACTTTTTTACTTTCAAGTTCCTCTTTTTTAGCACATTCTTTAAAAGCATCATATCTAGCAGGTGAACTCCTAACATATCTCACTGCATTTCTAATCGAAAGCACTGACTTCTCCATGCATTTTAAACCAGACTTAACAATCAAATTTACAATATGAGCTAAACATCTAACATGAAGATACTTCCCACCAAGAACAAGTTGTTTATCACCATTGTTTAACTTCCTCTTTATGTAATCCAATGCAACTTTGTTAGAAGATGCATTGTCAACAGAAATTGTTAAAAGCTTCATAATTGACCAATCTTGCACACATTTTTCTAGAAGCTTTCCTATCGTTAAACCTTGATGATTTGGAATGACACAAAAGTTCAGTATTCGCATATGCATAGTCCAACTATTATCAATAAAATGGGCAGTAACTACCATATAGTTGATATTTTGCAATGAAGTCCATGTATCTGTTGTTAAGCTAACACAATAATTTTTTAGATCAGCTTTCAAATCATCCTTCATTGTGCTATACATACTCAAAAACATCTTCACAATTGTTTTCCTACATGGAACTTTCCATTTCGGAATAGCAATTTTGCAAAATCTCCTAAAACCCTCTTTTTCTATTGCACTAAATGACATCTCATCTATAACAATCATTTCAACAGCTGCCTTAGTGCAATTTTCTTGAGTCCAATGAGTAACTACAATATCTTCACCATTTTTGTCAACAACAAGGTGTTTCTGACCTACTCCCACATTCTTAACACAGCCAGGATACACGGGGCAGTGTTGTTCTAAGTGTTTTTGTAGTGTGCTTGTCCCATTTTTTGTGGAATCGGAAGCAAGCTCAGTAGAACAATACTTACATGTAGATATCTGAGTGTGTCCAATCTGTACCTCTACACCTTGCTCATTCTCTTTCATGAGAGGCTTCATTTCTGTATCATAGTGTCCCCACACCCAAGATCGTTTTTTTCTCTCTACTTTAACTCCAGCCCTCTTCCTCTTTTTTGATAGCTTTCGAGGCTCACTTGACTGAGTTGGATTGGACTTGTCAGACTTCATAGTACTTTGATCTACAATAAAGAGTAAGTATATTATAGCCCCATCATAATAAAACATAAACAATAAAAAATATATAACCCTTACCAATTTAACCAAACAAAAATAGAAAACTCCTAAAAAACACATACACAGATGATGGTGTGATGTTTCATCATTATAGTAGTAAAGAAATATATCTTTGAAACACATCCACTCATGCCTTAAAATCTGCCAGAAATGCACTTTTGCTGGAATGATGAATCTAATCTAATAAATTGCTTGAAGCAGGTTTGGTTTGAGTTCATCTATTATAATTAATTAATGGCATAAGTATATTACTACTATATTCAAAATTTTGCATTTCCCATTATAAAACTAAATATGCTAAAATAATTAAAAGAAACAAAGGGTGCCACCATAAAGGAAGTGTTGCTTTAAAAGAAACCGAGGGTGAAGTTTTGGGCTTGCAAATAAGCTTTAATTTTTTCTTGTAATTTTAGTGACAAACCCTTGTACAAACTACAAAGACTAAGGCTGTGTAAAAAAACTGCTTCAGTCTAAAATCAAAATATATATATGTATACACTAGTACTATATACATACATATGCAACAACTATAAACCATCCAAAATAAAGAGACAAATAAACTGTGAGTTAGAGAAGTAACGAGCTTAGGACTTAGGTTCATAGTTCAAACATACGGTCATACACATAATATTTGATAAAATGAGATAAACTATGGCATACCAGTGACCTCCTCGCCGTAAGGAATGAAATTTGAGACTGAACCACTCCTGAATCTACTATCTAGTATCTAGAGCTTGAGAGAAGAAGATCGAGATAGCTAGGCTTCGATGTAATTTGTGTAGCGTGGTAGGCTTCGATGTAATCGTGAATGGCAGACTAATTTGATCCTTTAGGGTTACCATCCTAATATGTAAAATTGAAAAGTCCAAGTAATCGGCCCATTGTAATTTCTAACTAGCCGCTCCGCTAGTCCGCTACCTAAGCCTAATACTTTGTTATCGGTTCATTAACGGTTCGAATGTAAATTTTTAACCCAGAACCGGAAACCGAACCGCTATCAAAACCAAGGAACCGAACCGATTATATTTTTAAACCCATTTAGAGGAACCGAACCGAACCGGGGGTTAACGGTTCGGTTCTTACCGGTTCCCCGGTTCCCGGTTCCAAAATCCCGGCCCTACATTTTTCATTATACTAGTTAATTAGTTCATTAGTATTCCCATTAATTGCTAAAACAACTCTACTTCAAAAAACTAGTTAATTGTCATTATAGTTAAAGTCACATTATAATATTTTCAATTTATATTTGAACGAAAAAAATAGTAGTTCAATCATTGAATTAAAGTACTTAACATTTTATTTAAGTAATTTTTACTAAATTAAAGTACTTGAAAAGTTGCTATAATTTTAATTTTAGAGTCACACATTAATTCTACTTTGCACTAAATTTGTTTGAAGTATTAATTAAAATAGTTTTAATTAGTTGCATTAGTTTTGTATTCATTATTATATTTGTTGCGAATTAATATTTGTTACATTTTTAAGATGGAAGGTGGTAGATATTCGGTTGATTTGGGTAACCTCCAACGCAATCGAAGGAACGAGATTGGGAGGAAGAAATCCCGCAAAGGTAAAGAACTTGCCGGCTCTTCATCTCAAAGCCGAGATGATTTTGAAACGGGTTACCAAAGGCGAGATGGAGATGCGATGTCCGAAGAACAACTACAACAAGAATTGGCCCGACATAATAACCGCTTTCTACAACAACAACAAATCCCGACGACCATTGACGAAGAGGAGCTTGAGGATGAAGATGCGGAGGAAATGGAACCGGAGACGGCCGAGGAGGAGGGTGCCGGCAGCCACGACACCGACGAGCCTGCTGTAACACTTGAGATTTAATATAAATGGATTAATAGTACTACTCATACCAACAAGATGCATCTCCTTTTAAGGGAGCTCATCCGCTAAGAACTCCAAAGTTAAGCGTGCTTGCACGGGAGTAGTCTTGGGATGGGTGACCCCCTGGGAAGTTTCTCAGGGCGCGCATGAGTGAGGACAAAGTGCGCGGAAAAGGCTAGTGGCGGTTTGTGAGGTCAGTACTATTGGTCCGGAGTAACTACCTCGGGTCCGGTGGGGCCGGGGTGTTACAGGTGGTATCAGAGCAACCCCGCGACAGTGTGATGACCCGTTGGATATCGGGCGGGCACTTGGCGGGGGAAGATTCTGGGATTTGATTGAGATTTGAGATAGGTTCAAGGGTGCAACGAGGACGTTGCAATCCTAAGTGGGGGTGATTGTAACACTTGAGATTTAATATAAATGGATTAATAGTACTACTCATACCAACAAGATGCATCTCCTTTTAAGGGAGCTCATCCGCTAAGAACTCCAAAGTTAAGCGTGCTTGCACGGGAGTAGTCTTGGGATGGGTGACCCCCTGGGAAGTTTCTCAGGGCGCGCATGAGTGAGGACAAAGTGCGCGGAAAAGGCTAGTGGCGGTTTGTGAGGTCAGTACTATTGGTCCGGAGTAACTATCTCGGGTCCGGTGGGGCCGGGGTGTTACACCTGCCTCATCCCAAACCGCCACCGGTAATAAAAAAAGTAAATCTGAACTAATGCAAAATAATTTTGATAAATGGAAGGACCCACAAACCGGCTATTGGCACGCAACTTGCAAGTGGTGCAACAACAATTATAGTTTGGAGACCTCCGGCAAATACGGATCCGCCACAAGGCATCTTAAGGCAAAGCACCCCGTGGAGTATGCAAAATTAGGCGGCGGAACGGGGAAGCAAACTCAAATATCGAGGTTTGCGAATTCCCAACCTTTTGGTAATTTCTCCTACAATGATGCACAAAATTTGACTGGTATGGCTAACTTAATTTGTGAAGAAAATTTGTCTTATCTGTTTTCTGAAAGTCTTGCTTTAAGAGATTATGCACAAGGTAGTTTAAATCCTCAATTTAGAAATTATAGTCGCAAAACTGTTAAGAAAGAAATTATAAGGCTTTATAATGCGGAAAAGGCAAGGTTACAAATTTTTTTTGCAAACTTTGATGGGCGTGTTACTATTTGTTCTGACATATGGGAGGATGATTTTCATCTTTTATATTAAATGGGTCTGACTGCACATTATATTGATGAGGATTGAAATATGCATAAATGTGTTCTTGCTTTTCGTGAATTTAATGATCGTCACACCGCTGAACATATTTATATTTTGATTGAGCGTATTTTAATTGAGTATAATTTGATTGATAAGGTGTTTGCTATTGGTTTCGATAATGCTACTAATAATACTGCTGCTTTACCTAGATTGCGTGAATTGTGTGGTGCCAATACTTTGATGGGTAGATTTTTTCATCAACGCTGTGCATGTCATGTTATAAATTTATGTGTGCAAGACGGTCTAAAAGCGTTAGGAGATGTTATGGAGGTAGTGAAGGGGGGATTAGACGTATTTGGGGTAATGGTCAACTTAGATTAAAATGACAAACTTATTTGACCGAAAGAGATGTGAGATATGTTGCTTTTCCTAAAGATTTGAGTATTCGTTGGAATAGTACTTATAAATTACTTAAAGTTGTTCTTAGATATTGTTGAGGTTTATTCCTTCAACCCTCGGGTCCAACACGTAAGCCCAAGGATTTCGAGTGGAGTATGTATGAATATCTAGCCCAACAAGCAAGTGATTTG